ACCCTCCTCTGCTGTGATTCTTCTGCACTGATCTGGACAGAGGTTCTCGTTTCCCTGGTCCATCTTGGATCACTGTTTCTCTATCCAGAGGGGTGGCAGCCTGTATGGCCTGAACGCTTTCTCCTACAGGTGATGTGCAGGCTGATCCTGTGGGAGATGACCCCAAGAAGAATGATCAACCACGAGGCGTGGAGGGCATCCCTGAGATGCCCAGGAAGAGGGCTCCACTTGGACATGCCTGTGAGTGAGCTTGGTTCTTTCTCATCACAGATTCACAAAAGAGGCCTAGATCCCCAGGCTGTTTGGCTGCTGCAGCCACTGGGCAAAGACGGTTTCCTTAAAGCGCCTGGGAAGAAGAGTGTCAGAAAGGAGGCCCAGCTGCATAAGCTACTGGCAACTGCCATCATCCTGAAACCGAGCTGACCCCCAATGCCAGGCAGAAAGGGGAAGAGAACCTCAGCCACCATCATCCCCATGACACTGGCTGAGACAAGTCAAGCATATTTATACATCATTGGTCATCCCACACATCTATCATAGGACCCCTTTCCATCAGACCAACTAATGAAGTGATTAAAAGGGTGAGGAGATTGTAAGTGTATCTCTATTGTTGGGGAAAGGTAAGATGTTATTTCTAAGGAAATCAACAATGCTTAGGGCCACAGGGAAGTGAGGGTTTGTTCCCAGGAAGGGGCCTAATCAGATCTGTCTAAAATCCCCAATAGACCCCTGCATCCACATCATAGTTATATACTCCACATGCCCACCTAGTCACACAAGGTACATCAACGTCTCTATAGAGTTTACATGGGGATGACTTCCATTATTGTCCACATGCTGTCCAAACTCTTGTTGGACAACCAGATGGCACTGCCACCTAATCTCTATGGGAACAGAGATGTTCAAGTGAGCTCTCATACTGATTCCCATTTATCCTAAAAAGCCCAAACCCAAACCTCTCTTACAACTTGCTTATTGATGAGAGTTTTTTCTTCCAAAACATCCTCTGGGAAGACAGTCTCAGGATCATGATTACCATTTTCCTCTCCCCTGAATCCCACCCTTAAGGACCTCTACAATCCATGCAGTGTTTTGGAGAGTGGTCTTTCCCTCATAAACAGCTCTCTCTCTTCTCTTTTCCCTCAAAGTTTGATGTCCATTTCTCAGATTTAGAAAATAATTACAGCCTTCCCACCACACTCTCTGTGCCCCAAAAGTGCTAACACTGGATAGCCAGTGTAGCCAGGGTGTGGGTAGATTGTTGGGTTGCTCTACATGATGCTGATTAAGCTTCAGAGTCATTCTCTGACTTCCCTCACATTTTCACTCAGGTACTACCTTCCTGGAAGAAGAGGAATGGCTAAGGGCCTCTGGATGCTAATGCCTTCTCTTAAATCACCTCCCGTGCCATACTGCCATCTGTCTCCTCTTTTTCCTCTTCCTTGACCCCCAGCAGCTAACACAGGGACTGGCACATCGTAAGTGCCCAGTACATGCATGTGGCTTCCTGCTTTTGGAACATGGCACCTCAAAGTCAAGGATGGGCTGTACCTGGGATTGTGGCAAGGGAGGGGAGGGAGGAAGTCTGGGTAGAGCGTATTCAGGCTTTCTTGCTCCCCACTGAATCCTCCCCCAGCTGACCTTGGCTGTTCTGCCCTACCTACCTTGCCCCCACCTTGTGCGATGTGTTCCAAAGGACCAACACCCCCCTACACCCCAACCTCTGGGTCAATACTTTGCCCCACCCACTCACCACTTTCTCTGGCTGCCCCCCATCTCCTGCAGAAGCTGTTTCCCAATCATGCCAGGCACCTGGTCTGCTCTGCATGTGCTTCTGGGGGGTAGAGGAGGACCCTTCCCCTGCCTCCCCATCCAGGATAACAACAAAGCCTTCCCAAAATTCCTGATGGAATGAATTTGAGAAGAAAAAAATCTAGAAACACAATTCTAGAGGGACACCCCAAAGTCTATCCCCTTTATATTAAGTGGTCTAAACATGAGCAAGTGGTTGTTGATGGGTTACGGCAACTCTAGAAACTCCCAGGAGGCCATTCCTTCTCATTGCAGGGGGTCTCTGACAGCCTCCTAGCCACAGTTGTGTCCCTGATGATCACTCCCATCCTAGGGATAGAAAGCTGAGAGTCAGAAACTGAGAATGTTTAAATCTCTGCCCTTCCTCTTATCCTCCTGCTCTATTTATGTATGGCTGAATGAGAAAGAAGGAAGGAAGGAAGGAGAAAAAAGAAGGAAGGTAAAGAGGAAAGAAGAAAGAAAAAAGAAGGAGGAAGAAAGAGAAAAAGGAAGGAAGAAAAAAGAAAAGAAAAACAATCCTTGGGGCCTGCTAACCATCATCTCCAGGACAAAAACCAAAACTGGAACCATGCTGGACAGATTGGACTAAGAGGGGGCCATTTTCTCCATCAGAAAAGTGAATGTGTAGCACAGCAGGGGGTCTCACTGGAGCTCAACCAAGCCCAGGCTTCCCACAGACTCCCTGGTGAGTAGTGGCGTGTGTGGGCACATTTGGGGCACGTGGGTAATTCTTGGGCATGTGACCTGGTTGAACTCATCTCTGCCTTATCAACCCCCAGAACCCATTATATTTTCTGGAAGAGCAAAAAAGAAAAGGTAGCAGGGGCTGGTTTGGTGGCAAGGGAAAATCCTCTCATTCCACCCCACCATTACCTCCAGAACTCTTTAAAAGATGGATTGAAGTTCAGAGACTTAGGAATCACAATGATCTCGAGATTATAGGTATCACAGGCAAAGGCTGGCAAAACAGATTCAGCCTTACATGGTATGTTCTATCTCTTTTGTTTTAACACTTGCCCTGAAAATTCTTTCCTGCTTACCTTTTTGTATAATAATATAGAATGGAGACAAATGAAATATCTTGGATTTTTTTCCATCTTGGAAGGGAAAAAATCCCAAAAGACCAGAAACATACCCCCCCATCCCCTGCTTTAAACAATCAGATGTGGATTGTGTTTCAGCTTCCCTTGCAAAGATGTCAGACATACATCAAGGGTTATTTTTGAGTTTGGGGCAGGTGGAATTATGCAGGGAGATCTTCAGGAGAGACTGGAGCTCAGACTTGGTTTAAGCCTGGATGCTGACAAGCCCAGAAATCAGGGCTGCTGCACTCCAGTCCCTGCAAGCACCCCATACCCTGTGTCTTCCTGAAGCCTGATAACTAGCATTTTTACAGTGCCTGCTCTGAGCCAGGTATGATGCGAAATGCCTTGCAAACATTGTTATTTATTCCTCACAACAACCCTGGCAGATAGGTGCTATTATCATCCCCTATTTACAGTGGAGAAAATAAACTGAGTTTAAGTGACTTGCCCAGGGTCACACAGTTACTAAGTTTGAGACCACATTTAACCTCAGTTCTTCTGTACCCCAGGTCCAGGACTCTACCCACTGCAATACCAGGTTGCCACAGATAACGGGCACCTGTCATTTTAACTCAGCAGAGATGCTCTGAACAGCATGTTTCAGAGGGAAGAGAGTCACAAATACTATCATCCTAGGAACATGTGCTGAAGCAAGTCAAAAGTACGTCTAAATTGCTTGTCATAAAATAATTATGTAATGTGGCCCCTTCACATCATCAAATGAAGGGATTGAAAGGGATCAATAATTCCCTGCCTCTTTATTGTTGGTGAGAAGAAGACTTGCTTGTATCACAATGATTAATGCGAAGGATTAGAAAGATGTGAGGATTTGTTACTGGGGAGGGGTCTGATCTGTCCTGTTAAAATTCCCAAACGCTCTTGCTTTATCATCACTGCCATCAGCATCATCTTCTGAGGTCCCCCCCTCTCCCTACATGCTGCCAGAACTTAGACCAGCGTCTGTACCCTGTGTGCACTAGGATTCCTTCTATTATCTGTCACTGACAACAGTCCAAAATCTTGTTTGGTCCATTGTGTCTCTGAGCACCACCAGGTGACATTCTCATCTAGTCCCTCTGGGAGCAGATGTTCAAGTCAGGTTTCACATGGAGCCCAGCTTATCCTGACATCCCTCTCCACAAACCTCCTTTTGGGTTCTTCTCTGATTCAGAATCTTTTCATCCAAATCCACTTAGAAGGCGGTGATTGAAGGACCCTCTACAAAGGCCTCAGAGCTGGGCTTTGGGGCTGTCTGAGGGTCATGGGGCCAGACTCTGCCTGAGAGCTCTGCCCCAAGAACAAGGGGGTAGGGAGGGCTCTGGTGACTCCCACCTCCCAGAAGCTGAAGGGTGGCCCATGCCATCACCCTTTGCCAATCCCCAAATGTCAGTGACCAGCGTTGGCCCTGCTGGGCCACGTGCAGAGGGAACAGACAAAGTGCAGTGGGGGGAGGCTCAGGTGTGAGTCAGTGTTGTCAGCAGCAGGGTGTATGCTGAGGGCCTGCTGAGAGGCAGAACCTGTGGGCCAACTGCCATCTGTTTAAGGATCCCTATAGCTACTGTTTAGAGCAGAGAGTGTCCTCAGTCTCTGTGTTCTTTCCATCTCTTCTCGATTTCTGGATGCCAGTGAATCTCTTATTACATTCAGTCCCTAATACAGTTGTCCCTAACCAGTGAGAAAGCATATGGGAAATGCCCTCCAGCTGAGCTCTCCACATTCCTGCACAGCTGCTCAGCAGGGCAGTCCTTGGGGATGAGTTCTAGGGCTTCCCAGCTCATCCTGCCCAGCACAGCCCTGGGCTTCTCTGAAACAACTGCCCTGCTTCTTCCTCAGCATCCTTAGGGATCTTTGCTCCCCTCACCAGATCTCTGCTTCTCTGTCCAGACGTGCCGTACTTTTTCAGTGTCTTATGTCTGTTGACCAATGGCAAAAAGCCATGGGTGATGTGAGAGAGGATAGCCAACAATCTGTGATGCCATTGGAGAGGGATCTCAGCCTGAAGAAAGAAGAGGCTGTTTAAAGTTTACTCATTGATGGATTTTTACCAAAAAATAAACAAAAACATTGTGGCACAAAGAGAATTTTTAGGAAAACAACTCAGATAAATTTCAAAAACAAAAGTCATAAATTTGAAAATACTTGACTGAACATGCCACATGATACGGACATCACTGTCATCCTTACTCCATCCCTACCTCAGGCCTCACTCTTCCATGGGGGTTGAAGCTGCTAAAAGGCTTGTGAGTTTGAGGTCTTTGCCTCACTTGTCTTCCTCTCCTTTCCAGGACTTCCCTCTGGTCCTCCATGGTGTTCAAGTGTAGTGAGTATTTAAGGAAGTCCAGAGCTCACGAACTTCATAGTTCAGAGAAGGCCCTATCCAGGGATTCTTTGTCCAGGATATTGTTTGTGTCTCCCCAACTGACATCTTCAGGTGCCAGAAGCACCCTGATCAGATGGAAGAAGTGTTTGCAGCCCCTTCCCACCAGCTGCCAAAGCCCGAGTGTCAAGGCTGGCACAGTTGGGATTGTGGGAGAGGATATGCCAGTTGGGCTGCAGGGTGGTGGAAAGTACAACATCATGATATAACTTCCTTCACATTTCCACTCAAGTATCACATTCTAGAATCCTGAGGACCACTCAGTTGCTGTTGGATTCTAGTACCTTGTCCACTCTCAGCAGGCCTCCCTTGGCATCCTGCCAAGATCACCTGTGCACCTAGTTTTAACAAATTTTTTCCTCCTCCTTTAGGCTATGAGCTCCTGAAGGCAGGGAACAAGCATTTCTGGCTTTCTTGGACTCCCCAGCATCCAGTAAAGAAACTGGCACATTTTGGTCACGGAGTAAATGGGTGTGGTCTCATTTCTTGCAGAGCATGGCACCTCACAATCAAGGATAAGCAGCAACAGGTATTACAGCAGCAGTGAGAGGTGGAGGGGAGGAAGGGAGGACAAGGTATATTCAGGCTTCCATCATCCTCATTGCCTTCGCCTCTCCTTGGCTCTTCTGTCATACTGACCCTGAGCTCCCATGCCCCTCACCTAACACCTCCATGTACCTCTGCCAGCACCATCAGGCTGACCAGGCCCTCCCACTACTGCCCCCAAACCTGCCCCTCCTCCTGTCTCATGCTTATTCCATGTCTCATTCATCCTGTCACTCCTTTATCAGCTGTTCACACTCCTGCAAGTCAACTGGACTTTTTTTCACTGTCACATGGGGGTGTGGCGAGGGAGGCCTGCTTTCCCCACCTCCCCGACATGGACCAACAAAGGGTTCTCAGAATTCCTGACAGAATAAATTTAAGAGGAGAAAAAAAATCCTCAAACACCCCAATGACCAGTGGGTATATGTGGGACAGAGGCCAAGCTCCCCCAGAAATCACCAGGTAAAAGTTCAGGGTCTCACATTGCATCCTCACCTCAGTGGGTCCTTGCTGTCCTCCTAGCCACCCTTGGGTCTCTGATGACTCCCCCACCCCATAGAAGGTGTGTCAGATCCCTAAACCTGCTTAAGTCCCTGCCCTTCCTCTCAGTCAACTGCTACAGGCTATATTTCTTTTTAAATAGGATCCCTGGGGCCTATTTGCCAACACACCAAGGAGGAGAACTAAAACTGGAACCAGGCTGTGCAGGATGACCTAAGAGGCTGCCATTTCCTCCATCCTGGAATGTGAGCTTCTATTCCAAGACAAGGGGCTGGGGGCTGGGGGGAGGATCTGACTGGAAAAAAGGAGAGAGACAGAGAGAGACAGAGAGACAGAGTCACAGACAGACAGACAGACAGAGAGATTGTTATGAAACTTCTAGGCCACCACCCAGAGCTATCACTAAGGGGAGATGTGATTGTAGAGATGGGGCCCACCTTCCTCACTAATCCAACCACCACCAAGTCCTGACAAGTTGCCACCAATGGGCACATAAACAGAAAATCCCAGGGAGTGGCATTAGCCACCAGACCATATGTTCTGCTTCCAGACCTGCCCTCACAGTCATCATCTAAGGAAATAGTTCCCATAGAGAAGGGCCCAGCCATCCCCGCCAACTGCTTCCCACAAGGCAGAGAAGAAGCCAGCTCAGCTGAAAGAACAAAGTCCCCTGGGGGGAGAGAAGGGCCAGCATATGCCAGAGGGTCAAGCTTCATCATCACCTTGACCACCATCTCCTCTCAGATCTTGATGGAGACAGCCCAGGCCCTGGAGTCTAGGAGCAGCCCAAGGTCCCCAGAGATCATCTTGGAGATACTTCCTGGTCATGAGTCGTGCAGTGGCTCCAGACACAGCTACTGAAGATGAAGAAAAGAAAGTTCTTCCACTCAAAGTCTCAGGCAAATATAAAATGGTTCAACTTCAGAAATAGATATGATTTTATCAGTAGAAATGGCATTTAAGAAGAGGTATTAGCATCTGCTTTGCTGTTGTACCCTAAGTACCATGGAACCTCTCCATCTGAATTGTAGCTGTCCCCGCTAATTTTTGTCTCCCCCTGAAGAATTTGAAATTCTTTGGAGCCAGGATAGTCTTACTTTTCTATCTGTGACTCCCGTGCTTGGCACAGAACTCTGCACATAAAAAGTGTTGAATAAATCTTTCTTTCTTTCCTTCCTTCCTTCCTTCTTTCTTTCTTTCTTTCTTTTTCTTTCTTTCTTTCTTTCTTTCTTTCTTTCTTTCTTTCTTTCTTTCTTTCCTTCCTTCCTTCCTTCCTTCCTTCCTTCCTTCCTTCCTTCCTTC